TGTTGTAACTTTGATCAAGCAGCATTTGAACAAGAGTCACATGACACTCTTTGAATTTCTTATAGAGAGGAGCTCGATCGCAACTTTTTGAACAAAGATTGCAGATTTTAGGCATCTCAGTTTTGAATGACTTCACATTGAACAATTAACTTTATAGAAACTTTAATGTATTCATGCCAACTCACTTTCATCACATATGATAACAACATGTGAACAACGACTCAGGGATGATTCAGTACCAGTGCAGCCCAGGTTATTAAGCCAGATTGTCCCACTTCCAAATCCAAACGATTTCACTGTCAATAGTTTTGCTGAATGTGTTATATATTTATTAGTCATATCAACTATCATATATAAGCTTTATTGCCTCTATTAACTTTGCCATCACTATCAAATACAATAGGCTGAAACCACTGCAGAAGCTAAAATTGAATTGTCTCCTTTCTTTGACAATGGTTTTCATTATGCTGCATGTATTCACGGACAAATAATACAGTTAAGCGTATGATTGAGAATACTGTTTTACTCTACGTGAAGAAAGTTAGTAACAGTTATTCCTACCAAATATTATGGTATATTATCCCTACACTAGACGTATATTATGTAACTATTTTATTTGTTTGCATCAAACACCTGCATTATCAAAATCAACCTGAATTTGTCAGAATACCAAAAAAGTAATGCATTATCTTTCTATATATTCGGTGCTTGAATTTTCATCTCTTAATACTAAAATTTTCAGAACGTAATTCTGTCTCTCTATGACAACGCTAGTATTACGTTACATTATAACTTTATTCAACAATGCTATTCTTACGTTACATTGTTCCACAACGTAACAACAACGTTGCAAATTATAGGGGGGAAGGCGGGAAGGCGAGAAGGAGGAAGGCGGGAGGGCGGGAAGGCGGGAAGGCGAGAAGGAGGAAGGCGAGATGGAGGAAGGCGAGAAGGAGGAAGGCGAGAAGGAGAAAGGTGGGGAGGCGAGAAGGCGAGAAGGAGGAAGGCGGAAGGAGGAAGGCGGGAAGGAGGAAGGCGAGAAGGAGGAAGGCGGGAAGGAGGAAGGCGGGAAGGAGGAAGGCGAGAAGGAGGAAGGCGGGAAGGAGGAAGGCGGGAAGGAGGAAGGCGAGAAGGAGGAAGGCGGGAAGGAGGAAGGCGAGAAGGAGGAAGGCGGGAAGGCGGGGGAGGCGTGAAGGAGATAGGCGGGAAAGCGGGAAGGCGAGAAAGGGGAAGGCGGGAAGGCGAGAAGGAGAAAGGCGAGAAGGAGGAAGGCGGGAAGGCGGGGAGGCGTGAAGGCGTGAAGGCGGGGAGGCGGGAAGACGAGAAGGCGAGAAGGAGGAAGGATGAAGGCGGGAAGACGTGAAGGCGAGAAGGAGGAAGGAGGAAGGCGGGAAGGCGTGAAGGAGAGAGGAGGGAGGGAGGGAGGGAAGAAGAAGAGGGTGTGCAGCGGTGTATCATTAACGTCAGTGGTGTTATGTCATCAACGTCAGTGATTTTGTGTCTTCAATAACAGTAGTGTATCATTAACGTCAGTGGTATTCTGTCTTCGACGTCAGCAGAATATCATCAACGTCCCTGATGTTGTGTCTTCAACGTTAGTGGTGTATCATCAACGTCAGTGGTAGTGTATCATCAACGTTAGTGGTGTATCATCAACGTCCGTGATGTTGTGTCATCAACGTCAGTGGTGTATCATCAACGTCTGTGGTGGTGTAATCATCAACTTCCGTGATGCTGTGTTTTCAACGTCAGTGGTGTATCATCAACGTCTGTGATCTTGTGTCTTCAACGTCAGCATTGGTAGCATTAATGTTATGTTCTTTGTTAACGATTAAAAGTTGATGAGAGTAACGTTTTGAGAAATATTAATGTGAATTGATATTTGTCAATGGCTTTGGATTACTCGGCCTATAACTTTATTTGAATTCGTCTCGCCGTGACTATCATTCTCAATGCGCAACACTAAATAGGTCACCGTTGGGGGTGTACGTAAATACGTTATTCTTTTTATCATCATGAAAGCAGGACTCATAATACATATGTATCTTACTGACCTGTTGATATATGAATATTTTGAAAAAGGTATAAAGATCAAAATTTGAAATTGCTCACGTTACGAATTGAGGTTTATGGTAAATGTTGTAAGACGACCCCCTTTTTTATCTTTTCTTCATCACCCATAAATTTGAGTTTTTCTTTACTTACCAAGCTCTGCAAATTCGCACATTACTAATTAGAATGACTTAAGGACTCTACTTAAAATAGCGACATTACTCTCCACTCTCAGAAGCCAATAAGATTGTTAAATAAAATAAACCACTGTAAACCTTGTAATGTGAGAATAATACATAAAAATACATTTCTTATTTTGTCATATGTCCAGTTTATCATCAAAAGAAATGCTGAATAATTATCATAAAAAATAAGGTAGCTATGCATATTGGGATTCTTTATCTGCTATGATAATACAACAGTTGCATCATTAAAGAAATGTTGTTTTCAGTAAACATGGTAAATATTTGTTTTTTAAATCTTTAGTTTAAAGAATATACATGGGACAAATATAATTCTATATTTCTTTAATACTCTGTATATAATATTAAATATGTGATATTCAACTGTGATATTATGTTTCTACCTTAAAATGATAATATGAAATTAATTTTGATATAATTTCATCCTATCCAAAATACCAAATATATTTTAAGATGCACAGCTGTAAAATATTATTAAAAAACAACAACCTAATAAGGTTAATTGGTGCCCACCATCTGTATCTTCATCCTTTTGTCTGCCCCCTATAAGAAATCAAAATAGCTAAGAATAAATGTAAATATAGATATTACTTTCTTGAGTTTACATAGATCTAGATATTTAACTTAATACATTCAAGTTTAAACGTGGTATTGTTTTTAAATGAGTTTCTTAATTGTCCTAAAATAGTACATGTATGTTTAGATAATTGAAGTCTAAAAGTTAAAAGAAATCCCCAATTTTAAGTCAAAATAAATGAATTATATTGATCTGGGCCCTGTTCCACAAAGCGATCTTAGTGCTAAGTTGGTCGTAACTCCCATACTTTATCATAGGCTTACGAACAACGTAGCACTAAGATCGCTTTGGGGAACAGGGCCCTGGATAAACTCCAAATGAAATGGGAGACAACTGCTGTGGTTGCAAAACATCTTGGTCTTGAGCTGTACGGTCCGGCAAAGGTTGATCGTTTCCTGCATTAAAATTGAGTATTGATTTTGATATAAATTATTTTAGTGTTTTTTTTCTTAAACAATGGAATTTAAGTCTTTATTATTTTAAAATAACTATGAAATCTATTTCAGACGCTGGGCTTCACAAAATATCATGGTTTGGCAGTATCAACTTCATATCTTGAAAACCAAAACTTTAGATAACATTTTTCAGCAAATTTCCATTTGGCAAACAGAAGCTACGAGTTATTGTTGTGCTTCTGGGGGAACCGCACACAGCCCACCCTTCTAATTTTGGCATATATTAACTATTCTAACTCGGACTATCTTGACTGAAAACAACCCATTTTGACTAACAACGGGGTTTTGCACTTTCCTGACATCTTGGAAACTAATATCCTAAATAAAATTGTTGAAGCAAATTCATTTTTAAATAAAAGCTTAATTACTTTCCAAAATAAAGATAAAAGTTATTTTAGTGCTTTTTGGAGAACCACATACAGCTAGCCCACCCTTCTAATTCGGAACACTGAAAACAATTCGTTTTGCCTTGCAACAGGGTTTGACACTATCCAGGTCTTATTTTGAGAACCAAAACTATCCTGGTTTTTTTTCTATCCGAAATTATCATTTCAAGCAAAATCCAAGTTCCTGTCCTACCAATTATTGTTGTGCTTTTTTTGGAGAACATAGCCTACCCTTCTAAGTCGGAACATCTTGACTGAAAATACGTCATTTTGGCTGGCAACGGGGTTTGGCACTATCCACTTCACGTCTTGAAAATGAATATCCTAAATTATGTTTCTGAAGCAAACCCATTTTAAACAAAAGCTAGGTTACTTTCCCATCAAAAGTTACCAGTTAATGTTGTTCTGTTTGAAGAACCGCACACATCCCACCCTTCTACACATGTGAATTGAGAAGATATGTTTCCAATGTGTACCAAGTAAAGACAAGACTAACGATCAGTCAAATGTCTTTATTCTTACAACAGTATGCTGCACGTGAACTTCCAAACTTTACGTGCCTACTCTGCACGAGACAAATGATGCATCTCGCGTAATGGATCTATGACTTGACATGTTCATGAGCATCGGTTCACACAACATGAACATGGACATGAACATACCAGTATGTTCATTGTGGATCATGAACATACCAGCATGTTCATTGTTGATCAAACCAATTTTAGTGACCAACATGTTTCTTTTGGCGGTGAGTATATATAATATGTAATACAGTGGGAAGATATGAAAACATAACACAACAGACACTACAGCAATGGCCTCTAATTATTAACAAGGAACACTGAGGCTACATAAAGCTATTAGTAACTTACATGTGAGTGAGTATGGTTTTACGCCGCTTTTAGCAATATTCCAGCGATATCACGGCCGGGGATACCTTAAATGGGCTTCACACACATTTGGCATGTACATGTATGAGAATAACTATAGCAATTTCTGAAATATTGAGGATTTGGACCCTCTTTTACTTCTGTTAATATGATGTGTATTTTTAAACCGGGAAATACATCAATCAGGATGTTACAACATCACAAATAAAGATGAGCAAATGATCTTCACACTCAAAGTGAAATAAAAGTATAAAACTACACTACATTCTCGAAAACATTAAACAAGCGTGTATCATTTTTATGCGTGTGCTTCAAGCTAGTGTAGGTGTATCATAACAGGCTGATCATGATTACAAGAATATAAGAGGACTGGCATTACAAACATCACAGTGTATGTAATTCAGAACTGTTTTACAAAATGTGCACATAAAACATTATTAATACCAACTATGTACAATATTCTGAAATTACTGTATAGTTTCGACATTTATCGAAGGTAGGTACCCCGGTCATAACCTCCAATGGTTATTTTGCCAACTTGTTGCTGCCGCTGGTGTTTTGATAGATGGGCTCTGTGAGGAAGACAACATGGTGAATTGTATTAGTTTTAGTAGAAGTGCAACTCAGCAAGACCAAAGGGACAGTGGGGGAATCTAATGGTTAAAGAGTTCGCTTGTCGCGCGTAAAGGCCTGGGTTCGGTTCCCCACATCTAGTACTCTTTCTCAGTTTTGTCATCATTACTCTTGTGACAGCAACAACGTTGCCTGCAGTAGGTCAACAATATTTTTTTTGACCACAGAAAGTTGGTAGATTAGTGAGTGAGTGAGTGAGTTAAAATTTAGTGCCACAGATTAGTTTACTAAAACCTATGTTTATTGATGTTCTTTTTTTGAAATATTCATATGTGAAATCTAGAACATTGTAGTGTTGTTTCAGTAATCATGCTATTTAAACTCAAACCTCAGGTCTACTTGTTCGACCTACCAGCATCATACTCCTGTCCTTCAGCTTTTCTCATTTCCATTTCTTTTCCTGGAGTATGAAAGAAAAGGCAGGCTATGTGTTAGAGCGAGCTATATGTTTGAGTAATGGGAAAGGCAAAATCAAAATCCGAAGGTTATAATGTAACTAGCCATGTATATTACATCGAAACTCGACTAACTGTCAGCTAAAATACCAAACCAAAGTCTAGCACACTTTCACCTCATGCTACAATAAATTGTCATTGGTATATAGAGAGCGAGTATTGGGAACAATGACCCAATGTATTTTAGTTCTAGCATGCTAAGTCAGTGTCTACTTACCTCCCTGTTATTGTATGGTATTTACCTCTTTGTTAACGTATGTTCTCAATCGGCGTCTACTTACCTCTCTGTTAACGTATGTTCTCAATCGGCGTCTACTTATCTCTCCATTAACGTATGTTCTCAATCAGCGTCTACTTACCTCTCTGTTAACGTATCTTCTCAATCAGCGTCTACATACCTCTCTGTTGGCGTATGTTCTCAATCAGCGTCTACTTACCTCTCTGTTAACGTATGTTCTCTATCAGCATCTACTTACCTCTCTGTTAACGTATCTTCTCAATCAGCGTCTACATACCTCTCTTTTGACGTATGTTCTCAATCAGCATCTACTTACCTCTCTGTTGACGTATGTTCTCAATCAGCGTCTACTTACATATCTGTTAACGTATGTTCTCACTCAGCGTCTACTTACGTCTCTGTTAACGTATGTTCTCTATCAGCATCTACTTACCTCTCTGTTGGCGTATGTTCTCTATCAGCATCTACTTACCTCTCTGTTAACGTATGTTCTCAATCAGCGTCTACATACCTCTCTATTGATGTATATTCTCAATCAGCATCTTCTTACCTCTCTGTTGATGTACGTTCTCAATCAGCGTCTACTTACCTCTCAGTTAACGTATGTTCTCAGTCAGCGTCTACTTACCTTTCTCTCAACGTATGTTCTCAATCAGCGTCTTCTTACCTCTCTGTTGGCGTATGTTCTCAATCAGCGTCTACTTACCTCTCTTTTAACGTATGTTCTCAATCAGCGTCTACTTACCTCTCATTTGACGAATGTTCTCAATCAGCGTCTAAATATTTTCTCTGTTGATGTATGTCCTCAATCAGCGTCTACTTACCTTTCTGTTGACGTATGTTCTCAATCAGCGTCTACGTACCTCTCTGTTGACGTATGTTCTCAGTCAGCGTCTACTTACCTCTCTGTTGATGTATGTTCTCTATCAGCATCTACTTACCCCTCTGTTAACGTATGTTCTCAATCAGCGTCTCCTTCCCTATCTGTTGACGTATGTTCTCAATCAGCGTCTACGTACCTCTCTGCTGATGTATGTTCTCAATCAGCGTCTACTTACCTCTCTGTTAACGTATGTTCTCAGTCAGCGTTTACTTACCTCTCTGTTAACGTATGTTCTCAATCAGCGTCTACTTACCTCTCAGTTAACCTACTTACCTCTCAATGACCTGCGAAAAGAACATAAAATTGCTAGATAGAATTTTAAAATGTGTCTTTTTATTATTTTAAGGAATTACAAAATGAACACATGCTGGTGTTCCCCTTCGTTCAACGCCAGTTATCTTTTATAAGAGTGGGTTTTGTGGTTTTAGTAATAGGAGGTTGACCAGTTTTTCCTCGGAGTACAAATATTTATAGCACATAGAATTGCATGACCCGTACAATGAAGGCAGTGACAGATTACGGTTTGTGACAGGGTGTTTGACAGAAGTACAGTTTGTGACAGGATGTTTGACAGATTACAGTTTGTGACAGGGTGTTTGACAGATGTACAGTTTGTGACAGGATATTTGACAGATGTACAGTTTGTGACAGGATGTTTGACAGGTGTACAGTTTGTGACAGGATGTTTGACAGATGTACAGTTTGTGACATGATGTTTGACAGTTTACAGTTTGTGACAGGATGTTTGACAGATTAAAGTTTGTGACAGGATGTTTGACAGATTACAATTTTTGACAGGATATTTGACAGACTAAAGTTTGTGACAGGATGTTTGACAGATTACAGTTTGTGACAGGATGTTTGACAGTTTACAGTTTGTGACAGGATGTTTGACAGATTACAGTTTGTGACAGGATGTTTGACAGATTACAATTTTTGACAGGATATTTGACAGACTAAAGTTTGTGACAGGATGTTTGACAGATTACAGTTTGTGACAGGATGTTTGACAGATCACAGTTTGAGACAGGATGTTTGACAGATTACAGTTTTTGACAGGATGTTTGACAGATGTACAGTTTTTGACAGGATGTTTGACAGATTACATTTTGTGACAGGATGATTGACAGATTACAGTTTGTGACAGGATGTTTGACAGATTAAAGTTTGTGACAGGGTGTTTGACAGATGTACAGTATGTGACGGGATGTTTGACAGATGTACAGTTTGTGACAGGATGTTTGACAGATGTACAGTTTGTGACAGGATGTTTGACAGGTGTACAGTTTGTGACAGGATGTTTGACAGATGTACAGTTTGTGACAGGATGTTGACAGTTTACAGTTTGTGACAGGATGTTTGACAGATTACAGTTTGTGACAGGATGTTTGACAGATTACAATTTTTGACAGGATATTTGACAGACTAAAGTTTGTGACAGGATGTTTGACAGATTACAGTTTGTGACAGGATGTTTGACAGATCACAGTTTGTGACAGGATGTTTGACAGATTACAGTTTTTGACAGGATGTTTGACAGATGTACAGTTTTTGACAGGATGTTTGACAGATTACATTTTGTGACAGGATGATTGACAGATTACAGTTTGTTACAGATGTATGACAGATGAAGAATTTGAGACAGTTTTTTTGACAGATTACAGTTTGTGACAGGATGTTTGACAGATTACAGTTTGTGACAGGTTGTTTGACAGATGTAAAGTTTGTCACTGGATATTTGACAGATGTACTGTTTGTCCCAGGTGTTTGACTGATGTAAGTTCTGCTTCAGAGTGTTCGAGAAGATCGTCATCCACTGTAACAGCTTCACCAGCCTCATCCCCGTCTCCTTCGTGCTCGGCTTCTACGTGTCCCTTGTCGTGAGGAGGTGGTGGCAGCAGTTCATGAACATCCCCTGGCCAGACAGGTCAGTGAACAGAGGAAGACTAGTTGTAGGAAGTTTGTTTGTTTGTTTGTTGTTTAACGCCACACTCAGGAATATTCCAGCTATACTCGAGTCTGCACCAGACAATCCACTAATTGAGATCATGAGCATCCATCTACACCATTGGAATACAATGACACGCATCAACATTCAGCAAGCATGACCACCCGATTCTGTTAGTAGCCCTTTCAAGTGCAGTCGCCTCTTACGGCAAGCATGGGTTACTGAAGACGTATTCTAACCCGAAAGATCTAGGATGCAGACTAACTGATAACTTCAAGCTCGGATACTGAATTGTCTGATCCAGACTCGATAATTTACAGACTGCCGTCATATAGCTGGAATATTGGGCTGATATATTGAAATGAGTGCGGTGTTAAACAACAAACAAACAAACCTTTGAAGTGACTGATATGAGCAAGGGACACTATAATTTCTCGTTAGGGGCGGTCGGGTAGCCTAGTGGTTAAAGCGTTAGCTCTTCACGCCGAGGACCCGGGTTCGATTCCCGACGTGTACAATGTGTGAAGCCCATTTCTAGTGTTCCCCGCCGTGATATTGCTGGAATATTGCTAAACGCGGCGTAAAACCACACTCACTCACTCACTCGTGCGGCGTTTAGCAATATTCATCCACTCGCCAGTTATTCACCCATTGGCTTTTGATGACAGGAGTCGGTCAAGTAGAATTTCCGGATTAGTAGGTTCAGTTTCGGCTGCACCTGTTCCTTGTTTCTCCTGAGGCTTTTGTGTCGACTCACAGGTTGGAACACATCAACGTTGGCATCTTACCAACGTTAATGTCCAACTGGAGAAACGTTTATTTGGACAAGCAATAACAGAACAGTTTCACGTGATTATAAGTGTCTGGAAGGATATTTAAGGTCGTAAGAGATAATACAATGGCAATGGAAGAAATATTTTCGAAATATTTCACTTTTATGAACAAGAGAATAATGCTTGGCCGGTTCCACGGGCAATTATTGCGCAGCGCCTTTCTACAGCAGGTTGTAAAAAACCCGGATGTAATGTCATGTATTTTCTGTATAATGAAACACTGTGACGTCATATGGCTTCAATTGACCAATCATCATTGCGAATCGCTAAAATACACATGTGCAAATATCCGACAGTTATTTCGCACAACCATTCTATCCTTTATGGGTAAAATATAGAGCTTATTATAATCGCATTCGTGTTACTGATTTTACGAAACGAGTGTCAGAATTAAAGTATTTCCCGCGCGAGAGCTGAATCTGAATTGACATAAACGTACCGACTTCAATGGTGAGGTGTGGTGAGGTGAAATAGGGTTTACAGTCGCGTCCAAGATGATTGCACTTATGTAGCGACCTGCATTCACGTGTGTGTGGCTGCTTGTACTTGTCCGGACTAACGCCGACAGGGTAACAACAAGTACCATCTTTAAACGTTTTGGGTATGACGCGGCTATGGACCGAACCTCGGACCTTCCGCTCGTCGGGCGGACGCTCTACCACTAGACCACGGAGGCGGTCCGCTGCAATGGTAAAGAATGGCTGGATACATTAGTGTGTATTAAAGTTGAAGTAGGGTAGGTCTGTTTACCGAACGGTGAGGTCACGTCAGTGTTTCTAAAGTTGGCTTGCCGGACAGGGCTGTTTGTACCGTGTTCATTCTATCAATCTTTATTACAGAAGTATTGAAAGGTCATAGGCCGGTAATACATATCTTCGTGGGTAGTGGACGGTAATACATATCTTCGTGGGTAGTGGACGGTAATACATATCTTCGTGGGTAGTGGACGGTAATACATATCTTCGTGGGTAGTGGACGGTAATACATATCTTCGTGGATAGTGGATGGACGTATTGATTTCTACCTGTTTAAGTCACTCATCTTATCATTTCTAAAATTCATTGCATGGAATATATACGCAGTCAAAGGCTTCAGTACATTAATATTTATAGAAGATATTAATTCATTAAACCTAAAAATATATTTGTAAAATTGATACATTGATGGATGTAGCTATTCAATTCGTAAATTCCAATAAAATGGACAAATAAGAACAAAATGGTACTCATCCTCTATAAGCTGTAAATTACACATTCTGCATAATCTAATTTCCTTGGGATCTTGGAATATCTTCCCCTTTCAATATATAGTTCATGTGATGAGCATCGGAATCAAGAAAATGCAATTCTATATTTGTACAAGCGTAGTTTCAAAAGATATTCTGCAGTTATTCAATGTGTTTTCCAATAAAGTACTGACATTTTTGACGATAAAGCTAAGAAACAATACCACTTATGTATGTACGTATCTTGGAGCCTTTGTGCACACAATTCATCAAATGTTCAGGGCTATCTACAATTTGACGTTGCCAAGCTTAATCTAAGCGTGAGTCATTAATTAGTTTTGTAACTGATGAATCCCAGGTTTGCTTTCCATATTTGTCATACAATACCATCATTTCATACCACTTACTTGGGTATCTATCATATGGCATCCTTAATAACTTTAACCAACACTTTATTATTTATTACCACATTCACACCTTGTACAAATGTTATGGGAGTGTACACCCCAAACCTCAACCCCATATAATCGCATTGTTGAAAAAGATTAAAATTTACACTTTTTATATATCTGAGACTTTTTAGTCTGCCATAGAGAATTCTCTTTGCTGGTGTTGCAGCCTGTATTGAATTAAGATTCCAAGATAATTCAATAGAAAAATATACTCCCAAGTATATATAGCTTGAACATTATGCATACATAAGATATGTGTTTTGACAATTGCTGTCCGCGGCGTTAACACCATTCACTGATTGCTGCAGGACACTATTCATTATGACGACGTACCTGACCGGCCTGGACGAGAGGTCCCGGATCATGAGACGGACGGTGGCCTGCTACATGCTGTTCGGCCTCATCCTCATCTCCCGCTCCGTCAGCGTGGCCGTCATGAAGCGCTTCCCGACTCTGGACCACATTGTAGAGGCAGGTAAACCCGGTTGTGTGTTGTGCGGGCCGGGCGAGGACTAGAGGACTAGAGGCGAGGGGGACCACATTGTAGAGGCAGGTAAACCCGGTTGTGTGTTGTGCGGGCCGGGCGAGGACTAGAGGACTAGAGGCGAGGAGGACCTCATTGTAGAGGCAGGTAAACCCGGTTGTCTGTTGTGCGGGCCGGACGAGGACTAGAGGAATAGAGGCGAGGAGGACCACATTGTAGAGGCAGGTAAACCCGGTTGTGTGTTGTCCTGGCCGGGCGAGGACTAGAGGACTAGAGGCGACGAGGAATAGAGGCGAGGGGGACCACATTGTAGAGGCGGGTAAACCCGGTTGTGTGTTGTGCGGGCCGGACGAGGACCAGAGGAATAGAGGCGAGGAGGACCACATTGTAGAGGCAGGTAAACCCGGCTGTGTGTTGTGCGGGCTGGGCGAGGACTAGAGGACCAGAGGCGACGAGGACCTCATTGTAGAGGCAGGTAAACCCGGTTGTCTGTTGTGCGGGCCGGACGAGGACTAGAGGAATAGAGGCGAGGAGGACCACATTGTAGAGGCAGGTAAACCCGGTTGTGTGTTGTCCTGGCCGGGCGAGGACTAGAGGACTAGAGGCGACGAGGAATAGAGGCGAGGGGGACCACATTGTAGAGGCGGGTAAACCCGGTTGTGTGTTGTGCGGGCCGGACGAGGACCAGAGGCGAGGAGGACCACATTGTAGAGGCAGGTAAACCCGGTTGTGTGTTGTGCGGGCCGGACGAGGACTAGAGGACTAGAGGACTAGAGGCGAGGAGGACCACATTGTAGAGGCAGGTAAACACGGTTGTGTGTTGTGAGAGCCGGGCGAGGACTAGAGGACTAGAGGCGGCGAGGACCACATTGTAGAGGCAGGTAAACACGGTTGTGTGTTGTGCGGGCCGGGCGAGGACTAGAGGACTAGAGGCGGCGAGGACCACATTGTAGAGGCAGGTAAACACGGTTGTGTGTTGTGCGGGCCGAGCGAGGACTAGAGGACTAGAAGCGAGGAGAACCACATTGTAGAGGCAGGTAAACCCGGTTGTGTGTTGTGCGGGCTGGGCGAGGACTAGAGGACCAGAGGCGACGAGGACCACATGTTAGAGGCAGGTAAACCCGGATGTGTGTTGTGTGGGCCGGGCGAGGACTCGAGGCGAGGAGGACCACATTGTAGAGGCAGGTAAACCCGGTTGTGTGTTGTGCGGGCCGGACGAGGACTAGAGGACTAGAGGACTAGAGGCGAGGAGGACCACATTGTAGAGGCAGGTAAACACGGTTGTGTGTTGTGAGAGCCGGGCGAGGACTAGAGGACTAGAGGCGGCGAGGACCACATTGTAGAGGCAGGTAAACACGGTTGTGTGTTGTGCGGGCCGGGCGAGGACTAGAGGACTAGAGGCGGCGAGGACCACATTGTAGAGGCAGGTAAACACGGTTGTGTGTTGTGCGGGCCGAGCGAGGACTAGAGGACTAGAAGCGAGGAGAACCACATTGTAGAGGCAGGTAAACCCGGTTGTGTGTTGTGCGGGCCGGGCGAGGACAAGAGGACTAGAGGCGACGAGGACCACATTGTAGAGGCAGGTAAACCCGGTTGTGTGTTGTGCGGGCTGGGTGAGGACTAGAGGCGACAAGGACCACATAGTAGAGGCAGGTTAACCCGGTTGTGTGTTGTGTGGGCCGGGCGAGGACTAGAGGACTAGAGGCGAGGAGGACCACATAGTAGAGGCAGGTCAACCCGGTTGTATGTTGTGCGGGGCGGGTGAGGACTAGAGGACTAGAGGCGACGAGGAACACATTGTAGAGGCTGGTAAACCCGGTTGTGTGTTGTGCGGGGCCGGACGAGGACTAGAGGACTTGAGGCGACGAGGACCACATTGAAGAGGCAGGTAAACACGGTTGTGTTGTGCGGGCCGGGCGAGGACTAGAGGACTTGAGGCGACGAGGACCACATTGTAGAGGCAGGTAAACCCGGTTGTGTGTTGTGCGGGCCGGGCGAGAACTAGAGGACTTGAGGCGACGAGGACCACATTGTAGAGGCAGGTAAACCCGGTTGTGTGTTATGCGGGGCGGGCGAGGACTAGAGGACAAGAGGACTAGAGGCGAGGGGGGCCACATTGTAGAGGCAGGCCTAAGTCCCGGTTGTGTGTTGTGCGGGCCGGGCGAGGACTAGAGGACTTGAGGCGACGAGGACCACATTGTAGAGGCAGGTAAACCCGGTTGTGTGTTGTGCGGGCCGGGCGAGGACTAGAGGACTAGAGGCGAGGTGAAATGAGGTGAAATGGTGTTTAACGTCGCGTCCAAGATTATTGCGCTTATAAAGCGCCGTGCATGTACGTGTGTGTGTTTGTGTGGCTGCTTGTACTAGTCCGGACTGATGTCGATTTATAGTGCTAGCTCACTGAGATACCATGCCGCAGTTTGACATAAATACCCCACTCAGACACAGTATACTGACTCCGAGCCGACCAGTCCTTGTTTTAGCCCCTTAATGCCGAGCGTACAGACAGGGTTAAAAACAAGTACCATATTTTAAGGTCTTTTGGTATGACGCGGTCTGGGATCGAACCCCGGACCTTCCGCTCTCCGGGCGGACGCTCTACTACTACACCACGGAGGCGGTCACTAGAGGCGAGGAGGACCACATGCTTGTTTGTTTGTTTGTTTGTTGTTTAGCGCCACACTCCAGCTGTATTACAGATGTATGGCAGTGGTCTGTAAATAATCGAATCTGGACCAAACTATCCCGTGATTCACACCATGAGCATCGATCCTCGCAATTGGAATACGATGACATGCATTAACCACGTCAGCGAGCCTGACTACCCGATCCCGTTAGTCGCCTCTTTCGACAAGCTTAGTCACCTTTTACGACAAGCATATATCACGGATATCGGGTTATGGTGAAGAACATTCTCTCAGCGTTCCATTGTCGTCGTGGATCGGGTGGTCAGGCTCGACCACTGGACTGATTGATTGCATTATGTTGTTTGTCTGATCCAAATTATGCTGATAAAGCTTGAACATTGCTGACTGCGGTGTTAAACAATATTCACTTACTCCTAAATTATTGTTCACGTGATCCTTCCAACGTGAAACAAAGGGCTGTGTTCTAGAGTCTAAATGGGTCAACTCAAGCAATAGATACCACCAACACTTCCACCCTGAATCGTCAGCGACACCCGATCTAGTCGTGGTGGTATTTATACCCTTGTGTTGTTGTTGTAGGTTTCATCACCAAGGACGAAGCCATGACGTTTGAGGACACGCAGTGTCAGTTCCACAAGTTCTGGGTGCCCTTGATGTGGGCCAACAGCGTGCTGGTTCAAGCTCGACGGGAGGGCAAGCTGGAGAACGAGTTCGGTCTACGAATGATCATCGAGGTATGATGTTTGTTTGTTTGTTTGTTTGTTGTTTAACGCCGCACTCAGCAATATTCCAGCTATATGACGGTGGTCTGTAAATAAACGAGTCTGGACCAGACAATACATTGATTAACATCATGAGCATCGATCTACGCAATTGGGAACGATGACATGCATCAACCAAGTCAGCGAGCCTGTCCGCCCGATCCCGTTAGTCGCCTTTTACGACAAGCATAGTCGCCTTTTACGGCAAGCATGGGTTGCTGAAGACCTATTCTACCCCTGAATCTTCACGGGTCTCATCGAGGTATGAAGTAAACAGCGAAAGAATGTAAACGTAGGTGTGTTGGTCTTCTCCACCGCTGTTTGCAGTGATCCAGCAATATCATTGCCGAGGAAAGATCCGGGTTAGAATAGTTCCTCAGCAACCCATGCTTGCCATAGCAGGCGACTGTGCTTGTCGTAGGAGGCGACTAACGGGATTTGGTGGATTTGGTTGATGCATGACATGGTATCCCAATTGCGTAGATCGATGCTCATGATGTCAATCACTGGATTATCTGGTCCAGACTCGATTATAAACATACCGCCGTCATATAGCTGGAATATTGCTAAGTGCGGCGTTCAACAACAAACAAACAAACACGTGCATACATCACGTTAAAAAAGCAATAACCTTGGACGGCGGAGGACATCTTATTTCAGTTCTACACATTGTACCAAGCGGGGAATTGCGACATGTGAACGCTTTGACAACTCCTATACCTAGGTTGAATCCAACAAAACACCGAGATTACGGAATTCTAGATTTTATGTTTTATGCGTGAGTGAGTGAATCGGGTGTCACGCCGCTTTGAAGAGTATCTCCGTAATATCACGGCGAGCCATCTTCACGAGATGCATCCTAACATGACTTAGTAAAGTGTGTCTCTCGTCGCTCGTGTGAACCACTTCCTTCGTCTAGTGGACAAAAGCTGTGCAGTAATGTATTGTCTACACGAATTACCGTTTCCACCCACATGTCATCACTACGTGTTCGTTATAACCGTAGTTCACTGTACTGATAGGGTTGGCATTGAGTCAGCTGTGCAGTAATGTGTTGTCGACACGAATTACCGTTTCCACCCACATGTCATCACTACGTGTTCGTTATAACCGTAGTTTACTGTACTGATAGGGTTGGCATTGAGTCAGCTGTGCAGTAATGTGTTGTCTACACGAATTACCGTTTCCACCCACATGTCATCACTACGTGTTCGTTATAACCGTAGTTTACTGTACTGATAGGGTTGGCATTGAGTCAGCTGTGCAGTAATGTGTTGTCGACACGAATTACCGTTTCCACCCACATGTCATCACTACGTGTTCGTTATAACCGTAGTTTACTGTACTGATAGGGTTGGCATTGAGTCAGCTGTGCAGTAATGTGTTGTCGACACGAATTACCGTTTCCACCCACATGTCATCACTACGTGTTCGTTATAACCGTAGTTTACTGTACTGATAGGGTTGGCATTGAGTCAGCTGTGCAGTAATGTGTTGTCGACACGAATTACCGTTTCCACCCACATGTCATCACTACGTGTTCGTTATAACCATAGTTTACTGTACTGATAGGGTTGGCATTGAGTCAGCTGTGCAGTAATGTGTTGTCTACACGAATTACCGTTTCCACCCACATGTCATCACTACGTGTTTGTCTCTTTCAGCAACTGGCAACGTTCCGAGATAAATGCTCTCTGTGTTTTGTGTACGACTGGATAACAATCCCTCTCGTCTACACACAGGTGGGTTCACGTACTCTATAGAACTCCATCATATCAACTAGTGTAAACACAAAAAAGATACAAGCATGAAAACTATTCTTGCTCGTATCAGTCAGTTAGATTGAGTGAGTGAGTGCGTTGGGTTTAACGCCACTTTTAACAGTATTCCAGTTATATCACGGCGTGTCAGCTTAATGTAGGAGGAAAGCCCAAGTAATGCAGGTCTCAGGCGTTTACCGGGAGCACGGGTATGGTTCTGACAAACCTAGAAACATAATCGGGGCGAACCGGGACTCGAACCCACAAGCATAGGTTTCTGGCGTGCCCAAGGGACGCAACTCTGCAATGCGGATCGCGGCGCCTTAGACGACCAAAACAAGAAAACAACAAAATAGAGATGAAAGATAAATATAATGAGTGAGACTCGGGCCTCCCGGGTCCGATGTTTAATCTTTTAAATGATCAGGTAAACCCCAAGTCTAGGCTCGGAGCGCCGAAAAAGGTCTCACCTATTTAAACCATTGTTAACATTCATTCAAAGAACCCTAGCACCTAAAATGTTTAAAAAACAACAAATATATCCCTGATCAAGATAAGAGCAATTTCTTTTCTATCTATTCTATCCGCGTCATGCCAAAAGACGTTAAAAGATGGTACTTGTTTTTACCCTGCCTGGCGCTCGACATTAAGGGGGTTAAATAAGGACTGGTCGGCTCGGAGTCAGTATACTGCGTCAGTGTCTGAATGGGGTATTCATGTTAAACTGCGGCATTGTATCTCAGTGGGCTAGCACTATAAATCTGCATCAGTCCGGACTAGTACAAGCACACACACACACACACACACACACACACACACACACACACACACACACACACACACACACACACACACACACACACACAGACACACACACACACAGCTAGTCAGACAGACACACACACACACAGACACTCATACACACAGACACACATAGACACACAGACACACACATACACACACAGACAGACACACACACAGACAGACAGACACACACACAGAGACACAGTAACTTCTCCGGGCGGACGCTCTACTACTACACCACGGAGGCGGTCACTAGAGGCGAGGAGGACCACATGCTTGTTTGTTTGTTTGTTTGTTGTTTAGCGCCACACTCCAGCTGTATTACAGATGTATGGCAGTGGTCTGTAAATAATCGAATCTGGACCAAACTATCCCGTGATTCACACCATGAGCATCGATCCTCGCAATTGGAATACGATGACATGCATTAACCACGTCAGCGAGCCTGACTACCCGATCCCGTTAGTCGCCTCTTTCGACAAGCTTAGTCACCTTTTACGACAAGCATATATCACGGATATCGGGTTCTGGTGAAGAACATTCTCTCAGCGTTCCATTGTCGTCGTGGATCGGGTGGTCAGGCTCGACCACTGGACTGATTGATTGCATTATGTTGTTTGTCTGATCCAAATTATGCTGATAAAGCTTGAACATTGCTGACTGCGGTGTTAAACAATATTCACTTACTCCTAAATTATTGTTCACGTGATCCTTCCAACGTGAAACAAAGGGCTGTGTTCTAGAGTCTAAATGGGTCAACTCAAGCAATAGATACCACCAACACTTCCACCCTGAATCGTCAGCGACACCCGATCTAGTCGTGGTGGTATTTATACCCTTGTGTTGTTGTTGTAGGTTTCATCACCAAGGACGAAGCCATGACGTTTGAGGACACGCAGTGTCAGTTCCACAAGTTCTGGGTGCCCTTGATGTGGGCCAACAGCGTGCTGGTTCAAGCTCGACGGGAGGGCAAGCTGGAGAACGAGTTCGGTCTACGAATGATCATCGAGGTATGATGTTTGTTTGTTTGTTTGTTTGTTGTTTAACGCCGCACTCAGCAATATTCCAGCTATATGACGGTGGTCTGTAAATAAACGAGTCTGGACCAGACAATACATTGATTAACATCATGAGCATCGATCTACGCAATTGGGAACGATGACATGCATCAACCAAGTCAGCGAGCCTGTCCGCCCGATCCCGTTAGTCGCCTTTTACGACAAGCATAGTCGCCTTTTACGGCAAGCATGGGTTGCTGAAGACCTATTCTACCCCTGAATCTTCACGGGTCTCATCGAGGTATGAAGTAAACAGCGAAAGAATGGAAACGTAGGTGTGTTGGTCTTCTCCGCCGCTGTTTGCAGTGATCCAGCAATATCATTGCCGAGGAAAGATCCGGGTTAGAATAGTTCCTCAGCAACCCATGCTTGCCATAGCAGGCGACTGTGCTTGTCGTAGGAGGCGACTAACGGGATTTGGTGGATTTGGTTGATGCATGACATGGTATCCCAATTGCGTAGATCGATGCTCATGATGTCAATCACTGGATTATCTGGTCCAGACTCGATTATAAACATACCGCCGTCATATAGCTGGAATATTGCTAAGTGCGGCGTTCAACAACAAACAAACAAACACGTGCATACATCACGTTAAAAAAGCAATAACCTTGGACGGCGGAGGACATCTTATTTCAGTTCTACACATTGTACCAAGCGGGGAATTGCGACATGTGAACGCTTTGACAACTCCTATACCTAGGTTGAATCCAACAAAACACCGAGATTACGGAATTCTAGATTTTATGTTTTATGCGTGAGTGAGTGAATCGGGTGTCACGCCGCTTTGAAGAGTATCTCCGTAATATCACGGCGAGCCATCTTCACGAGATGCATCCTAACATGACTTAGTAAAGTGTGTCTCTCGTCGCTCGTGTGAACCACTTCCTTCGTCTAGTGGACAAAACGTCTACCAGGAGAGCGGAAGCTCGGTGCTTCGATCCCCGGCCCTGTCACACTCAATCCGTTAAAAGATGGTACTTGTTGTTACCCTGCCTTTTGCTCGGCATTAGGGTCGTAAAGCAAGGATCGGTCAACCCGAATTGGTTTGTCTGCACCAGACTCGTTCTTTAGAACCACAATACATGCATGATATTGGGCTTATTCCCACAATAATCTGTAGCTGACAGTAAAGAATATTTGACTATTTCATGAAGTTCCTTTCTTCATAGACTGGTAAGGTTGGCATTGAGTCAGCTGTGCAGTAATGTATTGTCTACACGAATTACCGTTTCCACCCACATGTCATCACTACGTGTTCGTTATAACCGTAGTTCACTGTACTGATAGGGTTGGCATTGAGTCAGCTGTGCAGTAATGTGTTGTCGACACGAATTACCGTTTCCACCCACATGTCATCACTACGTGTTCGTTATAACCGTAGTTTACTGTACTGATAGGGTTGGCATTGAGTCAGCTGTGCAGTAATGTGTTGTCTACACGAATTACCGTTTCCACCCACATGTCATCACTACGTGTTCGTTATAACCGTAGTTTACTGTACTGATAGGGTTGGCATTGAGTCAGCTGTGCAGTAATGTGTTGTCGACACGAATTACCGTTTCCACCCACATGTCATCACTACGTGTTCGTTATAACCGTAGTTTACTGTACTGATAGGGTTGGCATTGAGTCAGCTGTGCAGTAATGTGTTGTCGACACGAATTACCGTTTCCACCCACATGTCATCACTACGTGTTCGTTATAACCGTAGTTTACTGTACTGATAGGGTTGGCATTGAGTCAGCTGTGCAGTAATGTGTTGTCGACACGAATTACCGTTTCCACCCACATGTCATCACTACGTGTTCGTTATAACCGTAGTTTACTGTACTGATAGGGTTGGCATTGAGTCAGCTGTGCAGTAATGTGTTGTCTACACGAATTACCGTTTCCACCCACATGTCATCACTACGTGTTTGTCTCTTTCAGCAACTGGCAACGTTCCGAGATAAATGCTCTCTGTGTTTTGTGTACGACTGGATAACAATCCCTCTCGTCTACACACAGGTGGGTTCACGTACTCTATAGAACTCCATCATATCAACTAGTGTAAACACAAAAAAGATACAAGCATGAAAACTATTCTTGCTCGTATCAGTCAGTTAGATTGAGTGAGTGAGTGCGTTGGGTTTAACGCCACTTTTAACAGTATTCCAGTTATATCACGGCGTGTCAGCTTAATGTAGGAGGAAAGCCCAAGTAATGCAGGTCTCAGGCGTTTACCGGGAGCACGGGTATGGTTCTGACAAACCTAGAAACATAATCGGGGCGAACCGGGACTCGAACCCACAAGCATAGGTTTCTGGCGTGCCCAAGGGACGCAACTCTGCAATGCGGATCGCGGCGCCTTAGACGACCAAAACAAGAAAACAACAAAATAGAGATGAAAGATAAATATAATGAGTGAGACTCGGGCCTCCCGGGTCCGATGTTTAATCTTTTAAATGATCAGGTAAACCCCAAGTCTAGGCTCGGAGCGCCGAAAAAGGTCTCACCTATTTAAACCATTGTTAACATTCATTCAAAGAACCCTAGCACCTAAAATGTTTAAAAAACAACAAATATATCCCTGATCAAGATAAGAGCAATTTCTTTTCTATCTATTCTATCCGCGTCATGCCAAAAGACGTTAAAAGATGGTACTTGTTTTTACCCTGCCTGGCGCTCGACATTAAGGGGGTTAAATAAGGACTGGTCGGCTCGGAGTCAGTATACTGCGTCAGTGTCTGAATGGGGTATTCATGTTAAACTGCGGCATTGTATCTCAGTGGGCTAGCACTATAAATCTGCATCAGTCCGGACTAGTACAAGCACACACACACACACACACACACACACACACACACACACACACACACACACACACACACACACACACACAGACACACACACACACAGCTAGTCAGACAGACACACACACACACAGACACTCATACACACAGACACACATAGACACACAGACACACACATACACACACAGACAGACACACACACAGACAGACAGACACACACACAGAGACACAGAGACACACACACACAGACAGACACACACACACAGACACACACACAGACCCACACACCACACACATACACACACACAGACCCACACACACATTGACACACACAGACACACACACACACACATTGATACACACAGACACACATACACACACACACACATAGACACCCACACACGCGCGCACACACACACACAGTCGTACACACACACACAGACACACACACAGACACACACACATACACACACACAGACACACACACGCACACACACAGAGACACACACAGTCACACACAGACACACACACGCGCGCACACACACACACACACACGCACACACACACAGACACACACACAGTCACACAAAGACACAGACACACACACACACACACACACACACACACACGTCGCTATATATGTGCACTAACGCGACAGTAAACCCTCATTTCACATCACCTGACTCAGTACCATCCTGTTTCCCTACTCATCTTGTTTACTCAAAATGGGGGGCGTGGCACTGACCAAGGCGGAAGTGAGCAATATTTAAATCTTGGCTCTGAAACTGAAATGTGATGCCCTTCTCTCAACAACTGCCCCGTGGCAGGCAGGATAGTGATTTCGGTTTTTTACAAACCTTCTGACCGCTGTTATTAATTAAGTTCACTGAACTTTTTTCTCAGCGCAGATCTCAGTGCAGATCGCCGTCATATGGCTGGAATATTGCTGAGTGCGGCGTTAAACAACAAGCAAACAAATACTTGAAGACAATAGTCATAACTACTTCCGACATCTGAGAGAAGACTTTAAAGTATGCTAAGTGAGGTAACGTCTTATGTCGATGAAAAATCACGCTTGGTTAATTGCAGGTAGTGACGCTGGCCGTGCATATGTTTTTTGCGGCGTGTATTCTGGGACGGCAGTTTCTGGACCCGCTCCAACAATACGACGGCTACGAATACGACTTCTACATTCCTGTCTTTACTTTCATGCAGTTCTTCTTCTACATGGGCTGGTTGAAGGTAAGTTGTCCTGCAGTGGAGTGTTTGTTTGTTTGTTTGTTTGTTTGTTTGTTGTTTGATGCCGCACTCGCAATATTCCAGCTATATGACGACGGTCTGTAAATAATAGAGTCTGGACCAGACAATCCAGTTATTGACATCATGAGCATCGATCTACGCAGTTGGGATACGATGACCTGCATCAACCAACTCAGCGAACCTGTCGCCTATTATGACAAACGTGGGTTTGCTCAAGACCTATTCTTACAGGGCGGTCGGGTAGCCTAGTGGTTAAAGCGTTCGCTCGTCACGCCGAAGACCCGGGTTCGATTCCCGACATGGGTATAATGTGTGAAGCCCATTTCTGGTGTCCCCCGCCGTGTTATTGCTGGAATATTGCTAAAAGCGGCGTAAAACCATACTCACTCACTCACTCACCTATTCTTACCCGGATCTTCACGAGGGGAGACAAGCATGGTTACTGACGATCTATTGTAACCAGGATCGTCACGAGGGAAGACAAGCATAGTTACTGACGATCTATTGTAACCGGGATCTTCACGAGGGGAGACAAGCACGGTTACTGACGATCTATTGTAACCAGGATCTTCACGAGGGGAGACAAGCATGGTTACTGACGATCTGTTGTAACCAGGATCTTCACGAGGGGAGACAAGCATGGTTACAGACGATCTATTGTAACCAGGATCTTCACGAGGGAAGACAAGCATGGTAACTGACGATCTATTGTAACCAGGATCTTCACGAGGGAAGACAAGCATGGTTACTGACGATCTATTGTAACCAGGATCTTCACAAGGGGAGACAAGCATGGTTACTGACGATCTATTGTAACCAGGATCGTCACGAGGGGAGACCAGCATGGTTGCTGACGATCTATTGTAACCGGGATCGTCACGAGGGGAGACAAGCATGGTTACTGACGATCTATTGTAACCGGGATCTTCACGAGGGAGACAAGCATGGTTACTGACGATCTATTGTAACCAGGATCGTCACGAGGGAGACAAGCATGGTTTCTGACGATCTATTGTAACCAGGATCTTCACGAGGGGAGACAAGCATGGTTACTGACGATCTGTTGTAACCAGGATCTTCACAAGGGGAGACAAGCATGGTAACTGACGATCTATTGTAACCAGGATCGTCACGGATTTCCTTTCAACGTGACACAAAGGGGACTATGTTCTGTCGTGTAAATGGGTTGACAGCAATAGATGGTTGGTTGGTTGGTTGTTTAACGCCTCACCCAGCAATAGTCCAGCTATATGACGGCGATCTGAAATAAGAGAGTCTGGACCAGACAATCCAGTGTATATCATGAGCATCGATCTAAGCAGTTGGGATACAATGACATGCTTCAACCAAGTCAGCGAGCCTGACCACCCGATTAGTCGCCTCTTACGACAAGCACACTCGCCTTTTACGGCAAGCATGGGTTGCTGAAGACCTATTCTATCCCAGATCTTCACGGGTCAGCAATAGATGGTGGTGATGGTGATATCAAGTACATACACCCGAACCACAAGTGTCAATACGTGTGGTTTCACCGTGTGCAAGAAACTTAGTTCAAATGTGCCTCTGTTTACCCAGCACGGAACGGATACCCGATATGCGAGGTGATGTAACAGCGCCTGTAGGTATCATGGGTTGTATACTGCCCAGGGAGCGGAGAATGATCACTAAAATGCATACGGATCCACTGGTAGGGGAACGAATCAACCGCATTTGAGGAGGGATGTCTGAATAAATGCGGTACACAAATATATAAAATTAGTGTTGTTATAGTGGTGGTAGTTGTGGTGGTGGTTTTTGTTTTTGTTTTGGTTGTTGTTTAACGCCGCACTCAGCAATATTCCAGCTATATGACGGCGGTCTGTAAATAATCGAGCCTGGGCCAGACAATCCAGTGATTGACATCATGAGCATCGATACTGGGATACGATGACCTGCATCAAGCAAGACAGCGAGCCTGACCAGTGAATAGAAATCAGTGAATGTTTTTCCTGAGTGTATTTCAAGGTGTATTGCATGCAAATTATAGATCTCGCTATCTGTCCACATGGCGTCCACCGAGAGCCAGTGGGGGCGCTTCAGGTGAAGAAAACAATCTTTTCCCGGATAAACTGGAAACAAATAATATATTCTCAGATTTGACAAAGAACGACTTGCTCTGAAACATTAGATCTCCTGTTTGCCTCCTTCTTTCAGAGATAAATCAATTAATTGAAGCGCTAACTAAAATAAAATTATGTAACGAACAATATTAAATGGCCCAGTGTGTCGAAAGCTGATCCACGTTTGACAAACACGTGTATATGTCTGTCATTTACAACCGTTTGATTGACAGGTTGCTGAGCAGCTGATCAATCCGTTCGGCGAGGATGATGACGACTTCGACATTAATTGGCTACTTGATCGGCATACGGCGGTGAGGGGAGATCCTTGTAGTCTATATTGGAGCGTTTCCTGTGTTTAACGATGCTCCGAACTAAGCAATTTATTTACAACTGCACGTGAAGGTGTAGCATTTATATTTCGATTATGTTGCACTCCCTAAAAAGTATAGGAGGAAAGCACGCAGGTGTGTACAATCTGGAGTTCATGAAGATAAAAGGCTTCTTGTCTGCAAGAAAATGCACGTTCATCACAACTGTTCTGCTTATCTTGGTCTTAGGTATCAAATACTGATAGGGTGGCCAACTGATGTAGAAAGCCGGAATACGCTGTGCAGAGTTGAGTTACTTTGTCACACCAGGATCCGCTGAATGTGGTTTCGAATTACTGACAGACCAGAGCGAGGCTCAGAAAGGCTAGTCTATAAGAAGGGTTCGGTATTGTGCTCGTTTATTTGTACTTTTTGTTACACATTAATGTCGATTGAATTAGAATTAATCTGTTATTTTTAATAGACTGAACAAATACAGTATTGCCTGACCAATTACAGTAGTCAGTGATACTGGCAAATGCTACAGTATGCAAAACCCTCCCAACCCTTAGCCTCCGTGGTCTGGTAGACAGAGCGTCCGCCCGGAGTGTGAAAGTTGTGAGTCGATGCCCTGGCGCGTCATAACATAACACGTTAAAATAAGGTACTTGTAGTTACCATGCTTGACGATCGCAATTAAGAGCATAAAACAAGTACTTGACGGCTGGGCGTCAATACCCATGTTAAATTGCGTATGGCGGCCCAAACACTATTAAAACGGACACACGCCGCTAACACGCATGCACGTGCATGCACGTCGTATATAAGTGCAATAATTTTGAACTTGTACATTTTGTATAAAATGGGTGCAAAAAATTATTCCACTTTTTCGTGTATTATTCTCCCTTCAAAGTTCAATGGCTGCTCCTGCATCAGTGTCGAGCGTTCTCAAGACGCAAGATTGAGTGAGTGAGTGAGTTTGGTATTACGCCGCTTTTAGCAATATTCCAGCAATATCACGGCGGGGGACACCAGAAATGGGCTTCACACATTGTACCCATGTCAGGAATCGAACCCAGGTCTTCGGCGTGACGAGCGAACGCTTTAAACAGTTGGCTACCCGACCGGCCTCAAGACGCAAGAGGCGGAGAGCACAAAACGATACATTTCTGGTTGTTATTGTTATTTTAGCACAGATGGCAGAGCTCCAGATTGGCTGCGCATTTGCGTCAAGTACGCATATAAATCGCCATTAGTCAATCACTTTGGGTTGCCTGTGTTCAAATGCACAGGGGGCGGTCGGGTAGCCTAGTGGTTAAAGCGTTTGCTCGTCACGCCCAAGACCAGGGTTCGATTCCCCACAATGTGTGAAACCCATTTCTGCTGTACCCCGCCGTGATATTGCTGGAATATTGCTAAAAGCGGCGTAAAACCATACTCACTCACAACAAATGCGCAAGGAAAATGTCAAAATCCCAATGGTGTATCAACACCATCTGCTTAATTACCCAATGTAGACTTTCCAAACTGCGTACCTAAATGTCTTTACAAATCTTTGTTTACTGATCAAATGCAGGCATGCCACATACATGAACTCTACTGAATGAATAATGCACCAAAAATGGGTTGTTAGTTCATGCGATATGTCGGGGGAACGGGTGGCCCAGTCGTCTAAGGCGCCGCTATTCGCCGTGCAGAGTTGCGTCCCTTGGGCACGCCAGAAACTTATGATTGTGGGTTCGAATCCCGGTTCGCCCCGATTATGTTTCTAGGTTTGTCAGCACCATACCCGTGCTCGTGGGTTTCACCGAAGTGGTAAACATCTTAGACCTGCATCACTTCGAGTTTTCCTCCCACATTAAGCTGACACGCCGTGATATAACTGGAATACTGTTAAAAGCGGCGTTAAACCCATCTCACTCACTCACACTCATGCGATATGTCACACACATTGGGCAGCACACGGATATAGGTGTAAAGAACCCAAAAGACTGGACCCAAGGGAGTAAAAACATATTGAATACCGAAGAAAGCGTACTAATACCCAGTGTGAATAAATACTCACTGCCTTATGAGATGGCCAAAAGATTTCTTTTCCCGAAACCAGATTTCTTTTTCAGCAGGGGTGGTCGGGTATCCTAGTGGTTAAAGCGTTCGTCACGCCAAAGACCCGGGTTCGATTCCCGACATTGGTACAATGTTGGAAGCCCATTTCTGGGGCCCCCCGCCGTGATATTGCTGGAATATTGCTAAAAGCGGCGTAAAACCATACTCACTCACTCACTCACTCTTTTCCAGCAAAAGATAAGACTGGACACTAAGCTACACCATCTTTTCAGACCTATATTGGCACTTCCCTTGTACTTGTCTATAAACCATCAAACGAAATGAATTAAAAACCAATAAGAATTTGAGCATGCCGATTTTCAATTTTTCAGCGAAAGTGATCCGAAAGGCCTTGACCGCAAGGTAGCAACGGTGTCACCGGACGATGGGCACAATACACCCAGTACAAAGCTCATGATAGCAAAGTAAGGTCGATACGATTATAAATGTGTGGTGCTGACATTATCTGTGTGGTGAGGGTTTGTAACTTCCATGGTTTGTAAAAGATTATTTACCAATATCTTCCGTTGAATGACCTTGACCCAAGGGAAACTTACTCCGACCAGACACCCATCATCCCGACAGTCAGCATTGATGAGTTCTAATACGCAGGCGCAATAGGGATACTTATACTGAGGGCAGATTTCAATTGGAACTGGAGTACAGCTCTAGTAGTGACTTTATTTCAGCTGCTAATACGTGTAGGAACATAGGAAATTCAGCTGACCATCCAGATGTTCCCCGTCAACTTTTGCCAAGAGCTGATCACGTGGACAGTGCAACCTCGGTGACGTACATCACCAAGCAGGCCTTCGAAGCATGAATGGAAAATATTGTATAGATCACCCAAAACAGGCTTCGAAATGAGATGCTGCAGTAAAATTTCATCACACACCATTGTGACGTCATCGGTTACCATGGCATTACCACCCGTGATGATTCGGGGTAGAATAGGTCTTCAGCAAACAAGACGTAAAAGACGACTATGCTTGTCGTAAGAGGCATCTAACGGGATCGGGTGGTCAGGCTAGCTGACTTGGTTGATTCATGTCATCGTATTCCAATTGCATTGATCGAAGCTCATGATGTCAATCACTGGATTGTCTGGTTCAGACTCCATTATTTACAGACCGCCGTCGTATAGCTGGAATATTGCTAAGTGCGACGTTAAACAACAAACCAAACCAAAACCATGGCGCTACTGTCAAATGACATCACTAATCTCTGCCACTAAAGTTGGTTGGATGCTAAATAGAATCTGACCCTCAGATATAACCACTCGAGTCGATGAACGTGTATCGAGGAGTGTTAAGCTTTTATCGACGACTGGTGATATATCTGATATCAAATGACATTAGGGTGATATTCCCTGGACAATGTTTATGTTGCATCACTGGTGCCTTGACGGAATAGTTGATGGAAAGTGCCTCGATCACCACTGCCCTGTCATCTTGTCACAGTCCATATGTTGTAATGGCTTTATGTCGTTCATTCCTCTAAATGACACTGCTTAAAAGTGTAGTTTGTAACGGCGAACAAGAACCGGATAGGCAAGACGCATAATAGACTGGTTCCAATGTTGGATCGCGCAACAAGCATAGGGAATTTAGCCAACAGGCGGCGGTCAAATATCAAGTACAAATATGTACAGTGCCAGTTACAGGTGCGCATGCGTAGCGTCCTTAATTACGAATGTAAATTAACATAAAGACACGACTACATCTTTTTGGCGATAACAATGATAAAATACTGCTTTGTAATGTTACTTCACAAACAAGCAGTGTGATATCGACGACCAATGTTAAGTGCTTTTAGGTGTCGTCCAATCGCAGCCTACGCCCTTATAGTCGATTTGATAGACAGAAGCCCAGTCAATCCCATGTAGCATTATTGCTAAACCATCGACATCATGTTCTTTATTCGTCTGTATGTACACAAGACTGGGTCTTGCTTAAAAAGCAAACGAGACCCAGGCGAACACTCATCAAGTAAAACGATGAACACCGGACCTATAGCTGGGACATTTGACAACCACTGCCTGATGACGACCAGTGTGATATATTGGGGGGAGAGGCGGCGAGGGCCGTGAAGGGGGTGGGGGTGGGGGGGGGGGGGGGGGGAGTAAGGGCTGCTAGGCTGAGACTGGGATGAGTAGAGGCTGCAAGGGCTTCGAAAGGCGGAAGGGGGGATGGGGGGGGGGGGAGAAGAAGCGGCTAGGGCCGTGAATGGGGGGGGGGACTAACGGCGGCTAGGGCTGAGAATGGGGGAGTAAAGGCTGCAAGGGCTTAGAAAGGCGGGAAGGGGGTTGGGGGAGGGGGGGGGGGAGAAGAGTGGACAATGGTGGACTTAGAAGTGAGTATTTTAATAATTGTATGCTCTGGGATCTTGGAGAAACTTTGTGTTGATGATTGATCAGGGAAACCATTTATTCAGGGATTATTCCAGGAACGTGTTAAGGTGGAGTCATTGGCTACATTGTTAATATATGTATATACGATCCCCGGTGTATTGCAAATTTAGCTGATTTAGCACGTTAACATGTATCATTTTGTAAATAAATTACACAGTCGACCACTTCACGATCTCCCAGCTCTAGTACTTTTAGATTCGTTTCAGAACTCCATATGTATTTTAACTAACGGCTTCTGAGCATGCGCAGTCTTACGTCACATGTGGTCGAGTACTGTTTACCTTTTTTCACCTTGGAACAAAAGTAGAAAGTTCAGTGAGAATGTTCCTACACTAGTTTACCGGTACGGCAAAGGAGATACATCTGGACTATTGCTGTCTGCGGCATCATTTGACAATTGCCGTGTGAGAAAAAGTGCCCTCGATAACCCACTGCATTATTACTCTTTACTATAATGATAATAACCTTGTATCACACCCTCGATTATCCAGTGTCCACTATATCCATACAATAGTGAAATGTACCCGGGACCAACAATTGCTCCGTTTGGAAGTGACGTCACGGTCACGGAAAGGGTCGAATGAGGACGAATCAAATCAAAATGACTCTTCGGAACGAATTGCCGTCTCTGACTGAACAGGTTTCAAATCTATAAAGTGACCCTACAACACTGGGCACCGACCAACCTCTGTGTTGAATCAGGAACGAATAACCGCCATTAGTTAATTACAAGTTGCCACTTCTGAATCTCGAAGCGATTATTTTTTGTCAAAATATATGTATAATCAAGACTGTACATAATGTGAATTAAATATATGCGAACTATTTGGATTCCTGTGTTTATTGTCAAACAGTCCGAAGAAAGGCCATTGAAATCCAGCTACAGAATTTTTACACCATACAAGAGAGCCTCGAAAAATACTGTAGATCACCTAGTTATATATTCAGTACGGAAAGATTATTCTCTCGGTATTGTATTTATTTCTTCAGATGATCTGTTTGCGAGCGAGTAG